CCTGAGTTTGAACCCCAGATTCACTGCTACTAACAGTGTGAGCCTAAGCAAGGTTTGTTTTTTGTTTTTGTTTTTGTTTTTTTGCTTTTTAGCCTCTCTGAGCCTTGGTTCTGTTAACTATGAAATGAGCATAGTAATACCTACTTCACAGAGTTGTCATAAGAAGTCAATGAAATATGTGTGTGGAGAACTTAACACAGTGCTTGGTACAAACCAACACCCTCAGGTTGGCAGCTACTTATTCCCATTCTGTCCTGGTATCTGGGTGATTGTCCCGTTTACTAGTATTATTTGGTTGGAAAGTATGAAAATGTGATGGCATTCTTAAAGACCCTCTCCCTTCTTAAGAAAACTCCTGGGAAAAGGCCTCCATGTTCAGCAATATTGTGCTGGGGATAAGGTGGTCTCCTCTCCACAAACAGAAAGTCCTCTAGCAGCAGCATCCACAACCCGAGTTGTGCTAGAACCCTGCACAATGCTGGACATACACACATACACACACACACACACACACACACACCTCAATAAATAACCTATGTGAGGAATGAATGAATCCCTCACATATGTGGAAAGAGAGCATTTATCAAGAACATACTATGGGTACATGGGATGTACATTGAACATTGAATTGTACCCTTTTCCCATCTATTTTGCCACCAGAAATTTGGAAATGAGGAGAACAAAATTGCCCTCAAGAGAGTAAAACCATGAAATAAACCCAGAGTGCATAAGACCAGAACTTGCAATTACCTTCAGAAGAGGATGATTTCCTAGGCATCCAGCCTCCTTCAGAACTTATTTAAAAGGCTATCTACAGAAAAGACGGTCAGTCCCAGAGAGGAGCTAGGTCAGCCACAGAAGCATAGAATAAGCCGTCTCAGAGAAAACGGAGAGCCCTGGCTTGGAGAGACTGCATCTTGAGGCAGCTGTGTCTTTCGTGTGGAGGTGGACACATCAAATTATCATCACACGACAGCATTACACATTTTCAGTTTGTAACTACTAGTATCTTCTGGTTTTTCATTCTTTTCTCACCACGTAGCCACATGACTGTAACTCATTCTCTAGCCTCAAAAAGAGAATGGACATTAGCCCCCAAGCAGTTCCATTCGGATGTCCACAGCTGTCTCTGTTAGGATGGGTCAGCCCGTCCACCTGGGACCCTGCTGAGACCCAGTGCTGGGTCAGGGATGGAGGCCCAGATGCTGACCCACTTCACACCACATTAACTGGTCTTCCCAGGAAGCCCCGCCTTCCCTGCTCTTTATGTCTGGTTTTCCAGACTATACCTCTCTATTTCAAAACACGTCAGAGTACCTCAGTGCCCTGCCAATTAGGTAGGTATGATAGTATGCCCATTTTTATAAGCAAGGAAATAGAGATCCCAAGAGTCACTAACTTGCCCAAGGGCACTCAGCTTTCTCACTGAATTGCCTTGCTACTTTTGTCAAAAATGAGTTGACCACATAACATGTAGGTCTATTTCTGGACTCACCATTCTCTTTCATTGATCTATGTCTTTCTTCTATCCTAAGCCAAAACCACATGTTTTGACTGTTAGAACTTTATAGTAAGCCTTGAAATTGGAATAGTGTTTATTTTTTCATGTTTATATAAGTGGATTCATAGTGTCTGTATTTTTTGTTCACCATTTTTACTACAATAATTTTAGATCCATTGATGCTGATGTATATACCACTAGTCCCTTCATTTTCACTACTGTATAGTATTCCTTTATATGTCTACACCACAGCTTTTTACCATTCTACTCTTTTTAAAAAATATATATATATTTTAAATATATTTTATTGATTTTTTACAGAGAGGAAGGGAGAGAGATAGTTAGAAACATCGATGAGTGAGAAACATCGATCAGCTGCCTCCTGCACATCTCCCACTGGGGATGTGCCTGCAACCCAGGTACATGCCCTTGACTGGAATCGAACCTGGGACCTTTCAGTCCGCAGGCCAATGCTCTATCCACTGAGCCAAACCGGTTTCGGCTAAAAATATATTTTTATTGATTTCAGAGAGGAAGGGCGAGGGAGAGAGAGATAGAAACATCAATGATGAGAAAGAATCATGGATCGGATGCCTCCTGCACGTGCCCATTGGGGATGTGCCCTTGACTGGAATCCAACCCGGGACCCTTCAGTGCACAGGCTGAAGCTCTATGCACTGAGCCACACCAATCAGGGCACCATTCTACTCTTGATTGACATATATAGCATATAGATTGTTTTTATGTTTCAACTACCTCAAATGAATATTTCTACAAACTTTTTGTACATGTTTAATAGTGTACCCGTGTGAGAGTTTCTCCAGGATTTGAACCTATGTATGGAATCCCTGAGTCCCTGGGCATATCAATCCTCATTTTTACTAAATAAGGTCTAAAGTGATTGGACCAATTATCACCCTCATGAGCAGTGCACCAGAGAATTCAGTGTTTCACATTACCTACAACACATGGGATTGTCAGACTTGTTAACTTAAAACTGTACTCATTATGGTTTTATTTTGTACATCCCTGAGTATTAGAGAAGTTGGACATTCTTATGCTCTTTGGATATTCAGCTTTCCTTTCTAAGAAAATGACTAGTTGTACCTTCTACTCATTTTTTTTCTATTAAGTTGTGTGTTTTTTTAATAATTCAATTAATCATTTACATTTTCTCAATATTAATCCTTTCGGTTGCACGCATATCTTTTCTCACAGCATGTATGTACCTTTTTCTCTCTTAATAGTGATTTTATCATAGCCAAAATTACCAGTCCATTGAGACACTTGATAATGTTTTCTTAAAATATTTAACATTTTGCATTTCATATTTAAATTTTTAGTTCATCTGAAATGTATGTGTATTTATGGTATCAGCTGCAGGTACAATTTCTTCTGGAGAACGAATGTCCCCAATACCATTTAGTGGGTTACCTGTACTTTCCCCACTGATTTTCAATGGCAGTTCTATCATATATTAAGTTTCTAAAAATGTATGACATGGTTTCTAGACTTTATTTCATTCCATTGATCTATTTGTCCCTTCATCAGTAACAGCTGTCTATTTAGCATTGATTTTTATGTATTTTTTAAAAATATGTTTTTATTATTTTTTTAAGAGAGAGAAAGGGAGAGAGATAGAGATAAAAATATCAATTGGCTGCCTCCTGCACACCCCCTACTGGGAATCAAGCTCACAACTCAGTCATGTGCCCTACCTGGGAATGAAACCGGTGACTTCTTGGTTCATGGGTTGACTCTCAGCCACTGAGCAACTCCAGCCAATCTATAGGTCTTGATATATAACAGGATAAGGTCCTCACTTTGACTTCTTCAAAAGTTTGTCAGCTATTCTTGATCTTTTGTGCTTCAAGTAGATGTTTGAATCAGGTTGCCATAGCCCACCAAAAAGAAAAAAAGTCCCACCTGTTGGGGTTTTATTGTGATTTCATTGAATCTAAATACTGTTACACTATTATTAGTATGGTTTCCTATCTGGAATCATGGCTGGTCTCTTCATTTCACTGATGTACTCCACAGGAAGTTTGATAACAATTTATATTTTTTCCTCATAAAAGTCTTACACACCCATTAAATATAGTCCTGGGTATCTTATTTTTTGTTATATTTTTAAAATTAAATGATCTAGGCTTTAATGGTGTATAAAATCAACTTTTGTACAGTGATATTTTATCTGACAACTTTGCTAAAACTTGCTATTTATCCTTATCAAGCTATTTGTCTGAAGAACAGCTTACATCATCTATGTAAACAGTCATACAAACTACAAATACACTGATAGTTTTATTTCTTTTCTTTCTATTCTTTATAACTTTCATTTCTTTTTCTTGTATGGTGTACAGGCATGCCGGAGAGGTTGCAGGTTTGGCTCCAGAACACCTCAATAAATTGAACTTCTCAATAAACTGAGCCACATGAATTTTTTGGTTTCCCAGTCATATTTAGCCCTGGCCAGGTGGCTCAGCTGGTTGGAGTGTCACCTGGTACACCAAAAGGTTTCGAGTTCAATTCTTAGTCAGGGCACATACCCAGGTTCTGGGTTTGATCCCCGGTTGGAGCGCATATGGGAGGCAACTGATCAATATTTCTCCCTCACATCAGTGTTTCATTCTCTCCCTTCCTGTCTCTCCAAAAATCATAAAAACATACCCTCCAGTTAGGATTTTGTTTTAAAGTCATGTTTACACTACACTCTAGGCTATTAAGTGTGAAATATCATTATGTCTAATAAAAACAAAACCTAAATTGAAAATACTTTATCACTAAAAAATGCTAATCATCATCTGAGCTTCCACCAGTTGTAATTTTCTTGTTGGTGGAGGGTCTTGCCTCAGTGCGGATGCCTATGGACTGATCAGGGTTGGGGTTGCTAAAGTTGGGGTGGCTGTGGCAATTTCTTAAAATAAAACAGCAATGACGTTTGACTCATCGATTGACTCTTCCATTCAATTGAGCATTAAGAGGCCAGTGCAGGGTTATTAACTGGCCTAATTTCAATAGTGTTGTGTCTCAGGGAATAGGGAGGGAGGCCCAAAGAGAAGAAAAGAGACCGGGAGCAGCCAGCCAGTCGGTGAGGCAATAGGAACACACGCATTTATTTATTAAGTTCACTTATTTGGGAGTGGTGCGTGGCGCCCCAAAGCAATTACAGTAGCGACATCACAGATCACCATAACAAATATAATAATGAAAAAGCTTGAAATATTGCGAGAATCCCCAAAATGTGACACAGAGACAAAATGTGAGTATATGTTGTTGGAAAAAATAGTGTTGACAGACTTGCTGGATACAGGCTTTCCCTTGACCTTCAATTTTTGAAAAACCACAGTATTACTCAGTTGGTTAGAGTATCGTCCAGATACGCCAAGGTTGCAGGTTCGATCCCTGATCAACCAATGAATGCAAAAATAAGTGGAACACAACTCAATGTCTCTCTTCCTTCCTCTCTTTCTAAAACCAATACTTTTTTTTTTAAAAGGGCAGTATCTGTGAAGCTCAATCTATTGAGGCACGCTTAAACAAGGTATGTCTGTACTGGCTAGAATTTCCAACAACACTGAATAAAAACAATGAGCACATACCTTAGCTTGTTACTGATTACTGATTCTGAAGAAAAAAATTTAATATTTTACAACGGGAAAAGGGGTTACTGTAACTGTGCTGGTGTGTGCACACAGCCAAGCTGACACTTCATGATTGTGTGCTAAAAACTGTCACCAGGTTAAGGAAGTCACTTCTCATTCTTAATTAGGCAAGGACTAGGGCTTTTTATCATAAAACAAATATTGAATGTTATTAAGCATTTCTGTCTCTATTGAGATGATCATATGGTCTTTCTTTTTTTAATGAAGTGTTATGTAGTGAACTACATTTAGAAATTTTCTAATGCGGAACCAGCTTTGCATTTATGGACTGAATCCAACTTGGTCATAATTCATTATCTTTTTCTATGTGGCTAGTGTCAATATGTTAATGTTGTGTCTGGGTTTTTTGCATCTGTGTTCATTAGTGAAATGGTTCTGTGTTGTTTTTTTTCCTCTGACAACTATGTCTGATTTGGGTATCAAGGTTATATTGGCCTCATAGAATGTCTTAAGAAATGTTCCCTTTTCTTCTACTCTATAGAAGAATTAAAATGATATTAAAATTATCTTTTCCTTTAATGTTTGGCATACTCACCTCTAAAATCATCTGGGATTGATATTATCTATGTAGGAAGATTGTTAACTGCTCATCACCCAAGTTTAATGGCTTTCCATTTCCTCTTGAGTCCGTTTTCGCAATTAATATTTTGCTGGCAATTTGTCCTTTTCATTTAAGGCTTCAAATTTATTGGCACTAAATGACATAATATTCTCCCATATTTTCATTCCTGCTGCATCAGTAGAATATTAGTTTCCAGGGGCTGCTATTACAAAGTATCAGAACCTGGGTGCCTTGAAACAACTGGAATTTATTGTCTCTCAGCACTGGAGGGTAGAAATCCAAATCCAAGGTGCCAAGAGAGTTGGTTCCTACCGAAGGCCTGAGGGAGAATCGGCTCAAGCCTCTGTCCTGGCTTCTGATGGTGGTTGGCAATCTTTGCTGTTTCTTGGGGTGTAGACACATCCCTACAATCACTGCCTTCACCTCTCCATGATGTCCTCCCTGTTTTAATTCTAGGTCTCTTCCCTTCCAGAAGGACAGCAGTCACAGTGGATGAGAAGGCCCTTGAATGACCCATTGTAAGGTGATTACAGTTGCAAAGATCCTATTTCCTAATAAGGTTGCATTCATAGGTGATGGAGGTTAAACATATCTTTTGGGGTAGACAAAATTCAATCCATAACAAATAATTAAATCCTCTTTCTTATTTCTAATATCTTGCTGGCAGTCCTCAATTTCACCAACCTTTTTAAAGAAACATCTTTCAGCTTTGTTAATCCTCTATGTTATCTCATATTCATGTCTCATTAATTCTGCTCTTTATTGATACATCCCTTCTACTTTTAAAAAGATTATCATTTTATTCTAATTTCTCAGTTCTGACATTTATCTTGCTACTATTCAGACTTTCTTCTTTCCTAATATATAGCCATATAAGTTCTATATTTCCACCCAACCACTTCTAACTACTATTTTGTTATTCCCTACAGTTTAATATGCAATATTAGACTTATCAATCAATATTGAGTATTTTCTAATTTCCATTATGATTTCTTCTTTGATCCTGGAGTTATTTAGAAGTGTGTCTTTAAATCTCCAAACATAGGATTATTTCTTAGTTATCTTTTTGTTTTTAAATTTCTTAATTTCTTTGTAGTCATAGTATGTAACCTATAAGATACTGAATTTTTTTGAGACTTGGTTTATGGCATAGCATGTAAACAATTTTCTTTTTCTAAAATATTGTTTTGATTTTTAGAGAGAGAGGATAGGAGAGGGAGAGAGAAACATCGATATGAGAGTGGACCTTCGATTAGCTGCCTCCTGCATTTCCCCTAGAGGGATAGAGCCCACAACCCGGGTATGTGCACCAACCAGGAATGGAACCAGCAACCCTTTGGTGCACAGGACAATGCCCAACCAACTGCGCCACATGGGCCAGGGCTAGACAGTTTTCTTAAATGTTCTAAGTATGCTTGAAAAAAAATCTCTTTTCTATTTCTTAGTTATAGAATTAGATACATAGCTATTAGATCAAACTTGTTAATTGCATTGCACAAATCTTCATATTCTTTTTGTTTTTCTATTGCTTAAACTATCAAACAGTGAGAGAAAATATTAAAGCTTCCCACTATGATATAAATTTGTTGATGTCTTTTTGTGGTTCTTTTGCTTTATATATTTTGGAGCTACGTTATTGGTTACATCCAAGTTTAAGATTGTTATATCTTTCTTGTGAATTGAACTGGTCAGGACACATGCCCAGGTTGTGGGCTTGATCTTTGGGAAGGGAGCATGAAGGAGGTGGCCAATTCATATTTCTCTCTCATCAATGTTTCTGTCTCCCCCTCTCTCTTTCTGAAATCAATAAAAACATATTTTTTTAAAAATGATACTAGAAGAGACAAAATGCATTGTGTTATCAGGATTGGAGCTGGATCCAGAAAGGAGGCATTAGCAGCACAACTGATAACATTTCAATAAGATCTATAAATTAATTAATAGTATTAGTTAATAGTGTAATTGTAGATCACTGATCTGTGGTTAATACATAGGGAACCTGTGTGAAGGTCAAATGGGAATTCCTTGTATTATTTTTGCAAGTCTGAAATTATTTATCAAGAATGATGAAGGATCTAAGATTTTACCCTGCTTGTAAGTTAACATCTTAACCTACTCCAGTTTCATTGATGCTGGCAGAAGACATGATTCTCCTGGGTCAGAGACAAAGGACTTTATTACTCATAGCACACCAAGCAGCATAAGCTTCACGGTCACACAGGCGCCACATGTCCCCCCAAGGCCTACGAAGCTGACACGTGTGGGCCAGAAAAATGCTACACAGTCAGTGAGTTTGTATCACATGGCTTAAGAAACCCCAATCTCTTCTAAGAGGTTGTAAGTAAACCTACCCAAACTTTGCCCTGAACAGAGACATTGTCTTCATTGTGTGGCCAAACAAACAAACCCTCTTCTTCAAAGATAGACATTCTCTCTATTATTCAAGGATGTTTCTATACACATATTCTTAAAGAGATAGTCCAGAACAAAAGGCTGCCATGCCTCTCTTCAGAAAGTGTGCAGAAACATGAGACCAAGGGGAAATGATCTCCTAGCAATTTCAAAACAAAAAGATTTTTTTAAAATCCATAGAAAACAAAATGAAGTCCTAGAAAAGGTCTTTTACCTCTATGTTAAAAATAATAAACTGAATCAGAGAAAAATTTAGGAACTTACGTACATATAACTATTATTGAGAAGAATCAGAACGAAAACATCAAGTCACCGAAGCCTCCAGCTCCAGACTTAGACTTTTTGTCCCAAGAGGCCCATCAGCACATTGTCTGTGCTTCCACATCACACCAGGTGCTGGGCAGGCAAGATCTCCCTGGTGCATCTTCCCTAGTTTGTAAAGATATATTCCCTCCGTGATGCATGAATTTGTCTTCTATCCATACAGTGATAACTTTGCTAAAAACCAAATTTAAAAAAAAATCTAAATGTCATCTCACTGGTACAACTGGACCTGTGTAAATTTTAGAGTATTGTGTTTAAAATTGAGATCATCCCCCAAAAAGAGCCAGATCAATACCTCTACGGTACTGAACTGATTATCTAACCTAAATTTCTCCTGCTGCATTTCCTGTTATTCTGTCTTATAGAAACTCTTTTCTGTGTGACATTACTTCCTAGACTTGAAATCCTTAAAATCTCCACTTCCGAACAACCTGTGAAAACATTTGCCAAAGGAAAAGCTTAAAACCATTAGGGGAAAGAAGGAACGGGAAGTAAAATGAGCTGTAGCTGACCATTTTCACTCTCAAAAGGCCAGGCAAAAGGTCAAAAGGGCTGAGGCCACTGCATCTAAAAATGGGCGTTACACCCAGGCCTGCTGTGGATACTCAACTTCCTTCCGCGGTAAAATCATTGAAAGAGGAACCTTGGAGCTGAAAAATTGACCTCAAGTGCTTCTGTGGCCCGGACCTATTCTCAGGAGGGAAGATCCAGTGGGACGGGCGTCCAGGCAGTGCCTCTCAAATGTAGGGCGCATCGGCATCACGCATCACAGTCGGGGCTGGGGGGGGGGGGGGCGTCAGGGGCACAGATCTCGGGGCTGGGCTGACTTAGCAGATCTGGGTGGCACCTGAGAATTTGCATTTCTAAGAATTTCCAAGGTAGTGCAGTCACTGAGGCTGCTGCTGCTTGTGGCTGAGGGGGGCGGGGAAGGGGGCACACCATGTTCAGTGCCGAGTCCAGGCCGTAGCTCAGGTGAGAGCGTCCTTCCAGATCCCAGTGTGCAGCAGGTGCCCTGTGAAAGGCTGCCCGGTGCCTGCGTTGGGAGCTGCTTATTTGACCTCTCTTCATCTCAATTTCCTGGATAAGAGTGGGAGTGTTAGGGAGACTTAAGGAACCCGAGTATTTCAAATGCCAAGAAATGTACCCAGAGGGCGGATGCCCTGTTTCCAGGCTGCCTGTCAATTGTCCCATTGCCTGCCCAGGCTTGAAGAAAAGGAGAACTACTCGAAGAAGTGAGAGGGCCCCTGGAACTGGTGGGAAACTGGCATTAGAAGCCTGAGGGAGAAAAGAGAACCATGCCTGAAGTTGAGCAGAGGTCACAACCTCAGGGCCTAGGCAGCCTACGTCGGAAGGAGGAAGAGAAGAGGAGGAACCCGATTTGAAGACCCAGAGGGAAATTGGAGGCTGGCCAGCTCTGAGCTTGACCTCCACAGCCCAGGTAGACTGTGGCACCCAGTCGGCCTCTCCTTGTGCGCCCGGCCCCTGGCAGCCCTGCTGTCATCGGGCCCTCCCCAGCTCGCAGCTGCTCCTTGACTCCTCCTGGGGAAGCATCTGCGGCCTTCCGCTTCCTGACTCAAGCTACTCGGACTTCCCACCACCCTTGCCACTTGCTCAGTCCCACAGGGAGGCCATCAGGGGGTGAACTGCACATATACACACACAAGCATCTATAGCTGCACATATCTGCAGAACTCTCTTCCTTCCCCCTCCAGCTGCCCTCACCCCAACAATGGCTCCAGCTGGTCACCCACCTCTACTTGAGCCAGCGTGTGTCTCCACCCCCAGCACCTACATTCCCAATACCTGGGACTATGTGTTTCCTTGGGGTTCTCCCCAGGATGGGGGCCAAGATGGATTTAACAACACACACCCCCCCCCACCACCAATAGGACAGCGGTGGGAGGTTGGGGGAGGGGATGACAACTCTGTAGACTGCAGTTGATTTGCTGCTCCTTAGAGGACCCAAAACCCTTTCTTAATGAAAAAACGCAGAAAGGTCCCAACTCCTGATTGGCTAGCAGCTGGACTCTGGAATGCCTCGGTTACCGTATATGCTCACATAGAAGATTCTGCTGCAAAAGAAATGTGTCATATTTGCCAAGCTATGGGGGAGTAAAAATGGCAGCAAAACACACTTATTTTCCTCTTAAGGTCCTAGCTCCCTTTCCAGTCTCCACTCCCATGATTATTGCCCTAGCAACCCCAGTTTTGCAGGGGCCCCATCTTGGCTGGAAAGTAAGGCTAAAGTACATAGCTGACAAGAAGGAGAACAAGGGCTTCTCTGATTATTTTCCTTGAGATTCGTCATTTAAACGCACACCACTGTTGCTTCTCCAAGGCAAGTAAGTATATACGGTATTTCATGTGAGGAATGTTCTATTCACAATCTTCTACCTTTTAGGACAGGGGAAGGGTTTGAATGACCTATAGCTGATCAATTCACGGGTGCCTGGAGCACTCCTCCCCCATCACCTCCCTCCCCCAACCAGAAACCTTCCTCTCCTACATCCTCCCCCAACCCCCACCCCAGCCTGCCTTACATTCTTCTATCCCCATCCTGGCCAGGAGGGCTAAACAGAGGAGCACAGAGAGGGGGCAGGGACAGAGAGGAAGTGTGTGTCTGAGAGTGTGCTCTAGTTGCATTCCAGAGGCAAACGGAAAGTAAAATAGAAAAAAATTAAAGTCAGTTCACCACTGTTTTCTATTATCCATGCCTCTGCAACTCTTCATTCAAGCAGATAACCACCACTGGACAAGATTCCCATCTTAGGGCAGAAACGGAGAGCCTCACAGACTATCTACCCTGTTCAGTTTTCAGTAGATTGCTGTAAGAATCAGAGAGGTTCAGCCACCTGACTAAGGTCACACAGCCAGTTACTACATATCCATGACTAGGACTCAAGCCTCCTAAAACTCGATCAGAGTAAACTCATACCCACATTTGGTTTTTATTCATATGCATATAAGTAGTTATTGACTGTCTCTTTCTTCAGACAGCCCATGGGTTGAACTAGAGGCTAGAGGGGTAGAAGAACTTTCGATGGGCGGGCAGTCTTTCACCATAGGAAAAAGGAGCTGCTATTTGCTCTGGGCGACGTGCAGACCCTGAACCATGTGCAGGCCTCTATGAGGACAGAGACAGTCGCACAGTGACAATCTCACAATGACAGTTGATTGCACAAACCCAGGGCAATTGAGGGGAACTGAAAATTAATCTTTTTTTTCTTCTTCCTCCAACAGAGTATGAAAGAGCCAGTGAAAACCCCAGGCAGACATACTGAGCAGCCTCTGAATCACTGAGAAACACAGACAAGGGTGGTGATTTGAGGAACTGGAAAGCAAGTCCTTCACCAGCTTTGTCTCCTTGCTGTCACTGCCAGTGTCCAAGGCGAGCAAGACTTTCCCTGCCCCTCCCTGCGTGTGCACGCATATGTGAGTGTGCGCGTGCGCGTGTTCGCAGACCTGGGAGCGCGGGCCTCTTTCTGTGTGTTCTTTCCCACACACCCGCTTCCTCTTCTGCCTCTCATGCCTCAGTCCTCGGAGAAACCAGCACAAGGTTTCCATTAGTGAAGCACATTTTTGTGCTATGGATATTGAACCAGAGAGGAAAGAAAGCAGACTGTTGTCCATGATGGATGGGTTTTCTAGAGGACTTCCCAGGGTGGTCCTTAAGGGGGCCAGGATGGAGCCGTGAGGGGCTCACAGCTTCACAGCCTCCCCTTGTTTCCGAGGACGTCTGTGTTGGGGGGGTGTCTGCTCTGCCGCCAGCCTCTCCCACCTCCATTCACCCCGCGCCTGCCCCTCCTCCTTCACCCTCCCCTTCCCCCAACAGCTCCAACCTCCAGTTTACCTGAGTGCAAAAATGCTTTCTAAGTTCTCCTTTTAGAATAAAAAGAAATGTGTCTTGTGTGCTTACTGTTTATTATGAATTGTGACTGTCCCTAAGAAGAAGAGGTGGTTTGGGGCCCAGAGCTCTTGAAATATCACCATAATTTCTGCATTTCAGAATGCTGAGGTTTCCCTAAGCTTTAGAAGCCTGAATTTCCACAATCATCATACTTATCAACAAGCAGCCAGAATGAGATGAGATGGATGAACCAAAGAACCATTGCCAATTCTCATCATCTTGCACAGTGCCTCAAACACGGCACGAGTTGGATAAATAATTAAGAAAGGGAACTAGGAGTCTATGGAAACTTAGTTTATAAATCACTTTCCCTCAGTTTAGTTAGCCCCCCCCCCTTCTTTTTTTTAATAGAAGAAGAAGAAAATGAGCTTCTGGGAGCAAGTGGCAGAGTGGGGAATCGAACCCAGTTCCCTGACTTGAGGTCTCATACTATGTGCCACCTCGTTGCACTGTTCGGGGCACCCAGAACTTCCATCGGAAGAAGGGCCTATCTGGGGAGTCAGAACCTGTGGATGAAATAATGCAGAAGAATCCAGGGAAGTAGATGCTAGTAATACAACACAGAAGTGATTTGGGGACAGATAGCCCCTGGAATAATTTGAGGCCTATTATTCGAATTCAATGAGGGGAAAATGGAAGGGCCATAAAGACTTAGAGCAGTTCACCCAAGGTCAAATCACTGAGGACAAAGGCGAGTTAATCAAATCTTTAATCCAGTTGAAGGGTTTTCAAAGAGCTTTTGGGGACAGGTGGAATGGCAGACTAGAGGCCCAGACCTCCCAGGAGGGCCCTACACATCAGTGCCCCGTCCACAGCCTTTCTTTCCCACTTCAGTACAGGAGAGTTCTTGCCACGGCGGGAGAGACCTCACCATGAGTCACAGGATACACGGCGCCTCAGAATGTCCATGGTGTCCAAGTCTCAAAAATTTACATATTAAAGCTCCAGATAGCCCACTGCCAAAATTAAACAAACAAAACACCCCAAATAAGTCAAAAACCATCCAAAGAATGGGGGAACACCTCTGTTTAACTCAATGTTATTTGGGTGCCCTCTCTGCCTGCTGAGCCAGCATCTGCTCTCCTGTTCTGTCCCAGGACCCTGGACACGCCAGCGAGATGGTGCTCTTCTAAGGACCTGCCAGCATAAAAGGAACCCTTTGTCTCAGTGGCTTTAGGGGCTGACTTTCCAAGGGTCTTCCCAGCTCTCAGATCCCCTAACTCACCCATAAAAATGAAGGTATATTTTCCTCTCCTTCTGGAAAGAAGTACCCAGCCCACCACACACATGCACCTCTACCTGCTTACTGCACACACTGCAGATCTCCCCCAGAGTGTTGCCAGAGATTGCACCCCATTCACTCCTCTTATGCCAGGTGCTTTAGCAGGGAGCTTGGCCTAGAAAATGCAGAGCCTAAAAAGTGTGAGCTGAATTGAAGGCACTGCACTTGTGAGTTATTCTAACACTTTTTGCTCTTTTCCTAACCCCTCAGTCCCCATAGAGACTGAGTCTAGAACAGCGGTCGCCAACTGGTGGTCCGCGGACCACTGCTGGGTGGTCTGTGAGGTCTGAAAGGTTGGCGACCGCTGGTCTAGAGGCCCCAAGAGCCGAGTTTGTAAGACTTTGGGATTTTCCTGTGAGCATCAAATATGCCTAAGCATCATTCCCTGCTCCTTCTTCCCCACCCTACCTTTGCCCCAACCCTTCAGTCTCCTAGGTCCCAGATCAAGCCTCCACCCTAAAATCTCTGTTTCTGCAAGCAGATGAAGCAACAATACACACCCCTTTCTCCTGTCCCCCATCTTCTCCTCTCTCCTCACACTCTCTTTTCTCTCCTCATTGGTATCCTCTTCCTCTCTACACTCCTTTCCTCTCTTTTCTCACTCCCTTCCTTGCCTCTCCCCACTTCTCTCTCTCCCCCTCACCCCCAAATAGGCTTTCTTTCCATCTATCGAGCTGTCAGCTTTGCTCCAGCCAAGCAGCTAGCTCCAAAAGACCTGTTCGTCTGGGCCCTGGGCCAATCCCTTCCCTATGGTTGCCCGATTCAGGATGATCTAAACAAGAAAGGCACATGTTGGCCTAGGGCAGTGATGGTAAACCTTTTGAGCTCGGCGTGTCAGCATTTTGAAACAACCTAACTTAACTCTGGTGCCATGTCACATATAGAAAATTTTTGATATTTGCAACCATAGTAAAACAAAGATTTATATTTTTGATATTTATTTTATATATTTAAATGCCATTTAACAAAGAAAAATCAACCAAAAAAATGAGTTCGCATGTCACCTCTGACACACGTGTCATAGGTTTGCCATCACTGGCCTAGGGTCTTCAGGGGGTGCCCTTCACTGCTCTTCTGGGTTTAAAAGCACATTCAGAAGTGTATCTGCATTTGTCTTGGGCAGTACATCTGGCCAGTTTGGACACATCTGTCCACAGCCTCAGCCACCATGGCCGCTGGTTCTGCTGCCCAGAGAGGATGCAAGTTTGCACGAGTATGTTTGAGAGAAGGCATCCTGCTCAATGCCGATTAGAGTGTGGTTCCAGGAAAGATCCAGGCTGGGCTGGGAAAATCCAGATGCGTGCTGGAGATGAAATTGAGAGAAAGAGGCAGGACCCATGTCCTCACCCACACCCAGGCTCCTTCTATGGGTAGAGTGAAGGGAGACCCAAGAAATGTAAGAGCTGAGGGGCCTGCTAGTGGGGGGTGGTGAAGGCTAGAGAGGAGGCTGGAGGCCCAGGGAAGAGGGCATGACCTGCTAAACACACAGGCAAAGGGGCCCTGCAGCCCTGGGTCCCTAGTGGAGGAGCAGGAAACAAGAATGTCTCCAGGTCCTGACATGTGGTTGTAATGATCACAGACCCTTTAGGCTCCAAGGGACCTCAGAGGTCATCTCCTCCATCCTCCTGCTTCCGGGTAGGGCTGCATCTAAACTAGTCAAGATGTGCAGGCAGCTCTGTTCTGAAAAATCCCTGTAGAAGGGAAAATGAGCTCCTTTTAATCAACTATTAGGCTCAGGATTTTGGTATTGACTTTTTCCACGTCTTCCAGAAAGGTCACGATTTACAAAGGCTGCATGAGAAATTGTTTTGTGACTAAGCTGGTGTCTAGACTCCCAGGCCCTTGGTCACCAGTGCATTGCCATTCCAGTTTCCCAGGCATGACTGTTCTTGCTGCCCAGCCTAACCTCTGTCGCTCTCCAGCCTCCATTGTCCTCTGTGATATATGCAAAGCAGTTAGGACAGTGCTGGGCCCACAGCATTCTGGGTTAGATGTGATTATGATTGCTGCTGTGGCTGCAGCTTTCAGTGGAGATGGAAATCGCCTGTTTATCTATTTTCTTCTTTAAAATATCCATTGTCTACATTGCTGATCAAAAAGCAGAGAGGGGATTTGGGTATCACAGCTGGGATTCTCCCCTGACCTGCTCCCACCCTACCTTCGCTCTCCCTCCCAGCCAGGTGATCCCTCCTCCATATTCTGTGTGTTCCCATAACCACATTAACTGACCTTTTTGAAAAGGCAGTAGCATGATGCAGAGTCATGGTGAGGGGCTCCCAATAGGGTAGCCATATAATTTATTATCCAATCCAGGATGCTTTTGAGAGTGAACGGGGCTGCTGTTAATGATGCAGGGCAACAAGCATAAACCAGAACCTAACTCTGAGCTGGGTTTGAATCTGCCAACTCTGAGAAAGAAGATATCTACCAAAGAGGCCTCCTGGGGTTAACTGGGCTCAAATTTAAAATCGCCTAGCAGTTGTTTCTAAACAGGGACTGCTCACGCGAGTTGGGCTTCACGGAGAAGCCTGCATGAAGCTGCCTACCTACACACTGAACTGCCTGCCTGCACTGCGTTCCTGCCAGCTGGACCAACCCTTTTAAAGGCGTTCCTGGGATTGTATTTCAACCAATAGGACTGAGACTTTCCCAGTCCAGTTGAAGTCATGCAACTATATCCTCATTAGCCTCTTCACCAATCAGAAAGGCTCAATTCTGGCCAACCAGAATAGTGCTTTCTGAACCAATTAAACTGTGAGGATTTGGAGTCCTCATTTGCATGAGAAAAGACCAATCAAGGATTGGAGGGGGACTTCTCTCTATATAAGTCAACTTTCCTTCCAGTTCAGACGCGCAGTTTCTCTTTTCACCAGAGATAGAAGACTGCTTTCCCAGCTGAAGGTGAAACACTGAAGATGTCCCAACCTGAATGGAACAGACAGGAGCAGAGCGAAGCTGAGGGTAGCTGTCCAGCAGGACAGGGGCCTTGCCTGAGGGCCGCCTCACAGCTGTGCTGTTCCAAAGCCTTGCTGTTTCATGATTGAGCTGTTTGCCCTAAATAGTTTCCTTCTTCACCGCACCCGAATTGGGGGTTCCTGTTGGCTTTGAATTGGTCTCAATGACCATTGGTTGACAAATCAAATCTCTACAATCTGTACCTTGGCTGGCCCTGAGCAATTTAACTGTTTTGAGCTTTGGTTTCTTACTGGTAAAACCTACTAAGGCAAAATATGTACACCCTTAGGGTGGGGGGTCTCAGTTTTTGAAGTACATGAGAATTACTCATGATGTTTGTCAGAAATGAAGATGCCCAACTGAGCTCTTGTAAACTCTGATCTAGAGGTGGGGGCGTGGCCCAGTAATCTGCATTCTGATGAGTGGTCCATGGCTCGACTCTGAAAATGCATCACCTTTGAGTCATAGTAAGAACTATGAAAATAACATGAGGAAAGAACATGGCACAGAGTGGGCCTCCAGGGATGGCAGCTCTCATCATCCTGTCTGTACCTTTTCCTTTCCTTCTTCTCCCTCTACCCTGTGAGCTCCCTGGTGCAAGGGTGTGTCTATTCATCTTTGAAGACACAGTGCCAGCCTGATACACATGAGGTGCTAAGTGGTTGTCTAGAGATCATTTCTAGACCCCCTATTTGTGGAGTAGAGAGGTGGAATGACCTGTCCCCAGTAC